TCCAGTAGCGCGCATTTTTAAACTTAAGAAGTCTAGCTACGGGCTCAAGCAAGCTCCGCGACAGTGGTACAAAGAATTCATATCCAAGATCCTTGTGTATGGCTTTGTCCAATCATCCTATGATCATTGCCTAGTAACCCTCTCTTCATCTCATTGTTTTATTGCTCTACTGGTCTACATTATTAATTATATTTTACTCATTGACAATGATTTTTCAACCATTGAAGCTCTTAAGACCTTTTTGCATTCCACTTTTATCATCAAGATTCTGGGTCGAAAAGATTGTTTTTTTTTTAAATTCATATTACTCATACTGCCGATGGACTTGTTCTCTCTCAACACAGGTTTCTAGAGGACATTCTCCATAAGGCAAGTCTTCACGATGCCAATATTTCTTCTACTCTAATAGATTTTTGAGCTTAACTTAGAAAGATAAACGTACCCATTTCACTAATTCTACCAAGTATCAAAGGCTTGTTGATCATCTCCTCTACTTTACTATGACAAAATACTTGATATATGCTATTATGTCCAACAACTTATTCAATTTATGCAGCCCCAACTCATGATCATTAGAGAGGTGCACACCTGTGTCCTTAGGTATTTTCAAGAAACCATGCACCTTTAGCTTCTCTTCCTATTGAGAGACTCATTCAATCTCACTATTTTCTCTAATACTGACTAGACCAGCTGTTTAGACACTAGACAAGCCTTAACGTTGAGAGTATATCCCACATTGGAAAATGTGTGGGATCTCCCCTAGTATATAAGGTGAAGGGTCACTCCACCTATCACCAATTGAATTTAGGTTGGATGCCCGGACCCTTTCTTAACATGGTATCAGAGTCATGGTGCCCGTATTGGGTTGTATGAATTTTTACTCTCTACCATCCTTCATTCTTTTTTTTTTATTATTATTATGACAATTAGTCATCCATTCACACGATTCAAGACTCCGTCCACCATGAGCAAACAAAGCATGTTTCCATTCATTGTTGCAACTTTGGGTGTGTTCGGTTGAGAGATTTGGACAAAATCTCACTATTCATTCAAAATTTTTCCCCCAAAAACATCAAATCAAACACCTATTTTTTATTTTTTATATTATACTAAAAATTAATTTTACATTCAAAACATCACATCATCACCTATTTATATCACATCATACAACTATTCAAATTCAAAATTTTTACTATTCAAATCCCAACTCAAAATCCAAACCCCCAAACAAACACACCCTTGTTTGCAAGCACTTTAATGATCATAGCCTTATTAACCTTATCTCCATTTACAACACCCGAAAGAATTTGGCTAGAAGCTTGTTCTTAGTTTGTTAAACTGTTAAATTTTATGTTAGGCTATATATCCGATATATTGTAAGCACCATAACTGATCTTTTTCAAAATTTTAATTTAATGTTCTCCGTTTACTTGTTGTCTTCCTTATATTACAGAACATCTTCTTTAATACCATAAACCCAAATTCACATTTTATTTTTTTTTGGACCAAATACAACAATCCATTAATTCCATGTATTTATTCTCTTTAGATATAATTATTTCAATTTCAATATAAGTATTGTAGACAGTGGAAAGTACAACGAAAAAATCCCTGCGAGTAGTATAGCATTTCAACCCCTTCGATTTTGCCATTGTCCAGTCTCAAAGCCCCACTTCCACTACTGGTTGCATAGAGTAAATCACAGTCTCGCAGAATCGCAGATTGAATTGAAAATTCAAAGAAGATGATGAATAGTGGACTGATTTGTAAAAAAGATGATGGATAATGGATTGTGGGATGATTTTATATGTAATGTATTGAGCTCATTTATACATTTGATAAATTTATAAAATAAAAATCGTTATAAATTTTAGGGTATTTTTGAAAAGGGCAAGATGATATTGAAATTGGACAGCTTTATCCTCTCTTCCTCTGCGATCTGTCGTTCTCTTCCCTAGAGTTCCCCATCTTCTGAAGTTGCTCTCTCACTCTCTCTATCTCCAGACTGGTATGTACATGTATATGTTAATTTATTTTTTACTATTTATATTCTTCTTGATTTTTCTGTTTGGCTAATTTAAAATTTATAAATGGATTTTTAATTTAATTTAATTAGGAATTGAGATTTATAAATTTATTTCTTCTGCTACTTGTTATGAACCATATTTGTGTTATGTGTTGTAGAGACTTCTAGATTTATTTATTATGCTTTTTTTTTTTTTAACTGTCAATTGTGTTTGTGTTATGTTTGTGTTCTGTATTTAAAATGTGTATGTGTATTAGCATTATTATTCTGTGTTCTATCTTAGGTTTTTATTTTAGGTGAAAAATTTGTGATAAATATGTTTTTAAATGTATTTTAATTAAATATAATTCCAATGGAATGTTCTTTTTAAGTTAAGTGAAATTGATTTATGATTTTAATAAAAAAAGTTTTGATTAAAATATTTTGTTATCATTTAGGTAGAATACAATGGATAATTTTTATTTTTTTTTCTAAAACACCTAAGGTTTCAATTTGAAACATCTACTACCAAAGACATGAATAACAAAGATAATGAAAAGAACACGATAACAAATTGGGATTTCTGATGATGATATTATTGTGGATCCTGATTACTTAAATCGATTGACAATTATTCATTTGGAGTTAGAGATGAATTGAGAAGAAAATATTTGGCTACATGTCTTTGTCAACCTCATGGTCATAATTTTCCAGGTACAAAATTTGATGATATTCGAATATCATTTCAAGATCAATGATTCAAGACATAGGATAGCTAAAGATACTTCATATTTTTATGGTGCTATTTGTTTTCTAATAGATATAAACATGGAAATACTGTATTTACTGAAATTAGCTTTAAAAATCGGGAAAAAAAACTAAAGAAAAATTCAATAGTCATCAAAGGTCAATAACTAGTTCACATAATTTTACTAGAATTATGTGTTGGATATAAATTCAAAGAAGTAATGTGGATTATGTTATGATGCAAAAAAACTCTGAAATTTAGCATACTTATTGGACTTGATTGACCACTCTTGTAAAAATGATTCGATATATTTAGAGTAGGGTTTACCTTTCCGTGGCCATGATGAGTCGGCACAATTTATATGTCACAGTAATTTTCTTGAGTTTTACACGTACGGTAGTAGCAATGAAAGTGTTAGAAAGATAATTGATTTAAATTCTTTAGGAAACAATCAGTTGAAGTCTCCATATATTAAAAAAAAAAAAAAAAAAAAAATTATCAATGCTTGTTGTTTAGAAGTGAGGAATTTTATTCTAGCAGAGATTGAGAATATATGATTTTTTCTTTTGATTGATGAGACTTGAAATAGTTCTATAAAAGAACAAATGTCTTTAAATGTAAAATTACGAATGATACTAGAGAGACTATGCTTTTTTTTTTTTTTTTGTACAGTACATGTTACTGACATTTCTGCATAGTCTTTGAAAAAATCTGTTGATGAGTTTTATTTTGTTTTTTTTTTTTTGTAAAACATAAAACTATCAATGATTAGAGGTAAAGATTATAACGAGGTTTCTAATATGCGTGAAGAGTTTAATGGTCTTAAAGCTCTCATTTTGAAAGAAATGAATATGCATATTATGTTCATTTTTTTGCCCATTAGCTTCAACTAGTTATATTTCTAATATGCGTGGAGCTTCATGTAAAATGAGAGATGAATTGAGGTAGCACAAATTTGATAATCTTGCAAGATATATAGAATTGGGTGATATTGCTACAAGAAAGCAAAAAACAAAAAAAAAAATCAAGAAATGAGTTTAGCTCAAGCTGATGATACTTGTTAGAGTTTTCATTTCAAGATAATCACTCAACCTTTTAATTTGTGGAATCCCTAAAAGAAATGAGAAATTATAGCTACAAATGACAATGATGTGAAAAATCGAATACTTGTTGTGGACTTGTTTGATAAAATGGAAAGTTTTGAATTTGTGTTTGTGGGTCAATTGATGAAGCATGGATTAGGAAAGACAAATACACTGTCACAAACTCTTTAACAAAATGATCGAAACATAGGGCTTGTGGTGCAATTCATTACAATTTTGAAAGAGGAATTGTAAAATTTTAGAACAAGTGGTTGAGAGGACTTTTTGGAAGAAGTAATTAAGTCTTGTTCGGATCATGAAATTATTGTCTTTGATATGAATAATATCATTCCCGGACGATTGAGAATATTTGTTGATGTCCAAAGAAAAATACATCTTCATTATTTTCGAGTGAACATTTTCATCCATTATTTTATTCTTCTTAATTTATTATGAAAATTATTGCAGTATTAGTTTATATTATGAAATATTAATTTTTTTTTTTTTTTTTTACAATGTTAGATGATGATATTATTTTTCAAGAAATAAATCATCGGTTTACTATATCAAATTCGGAGCTTTTTATGGGAATACATGCCTTAATCCCAACAATTTGTTTGTTACTTTTGATGAAGAACGGATTATTCGTCTTACGGAGTTATGTACGAAGGATATTTCTACGCATGATTTATCACAATTAAGTTCACGGCTTCAAGCATTCTTTCTTTACTTTCTATTTGATTTATCGACTAATCGAGTTAGGATTGGTTTTATTTGTCAAAACATCTACGGTTGAAAGATTTTTTTGACAATAAAGATTGTCAAAAATGATTTGTGAAACAGAATGAGAGATGAAATTTTGTAGTAAAATTGTCTTGTTTTGATTTGTACAAGAAGACTTTAGTTTGTTATTCTTCTTTGTAAATTTTTACATTTTTTAATATATATTCAGAGTTTACAAAATATTTTAATTATTTTAAATTTTTATTTTTATAAGCTAAATGAAAATTTAAAAGCAAAATTGAGTTCTAGGAAGTTGCTCCTAACATCTTCAATTTTATTAGTATTTTTCCCATCTAAATTCAACATACCATATTATTTATTATCCTAAGATGAGTGCAAAAGACAGACAATATGTAGTAAACTAAAACAGCTGCCACACCAGTAAATTTAAACTGCACTGCACTAAATTTGGACAAGGATTATGCAGGGCATAAAACAGGAAACACATGATGATTCTCAATTCTAACCAAGAACCAATGTTTCTAACCTTTCATGCTCAGTAAACAAGAAATAGTGACAAAGTATGTTCATTCCACTCGCACTCGAAATTATTAGAGCAGTCAAGAGGTATATGCCAATGGAGAAACAAATGTAGTTTGTGGTAAAAGTTCACTCAACACCCAGAACTTCAATCTCGAAGACCAGAACCGAGTTGGGTTGAATACCCCATGCTGGAAAGCCATTTGCACCATAGGCGTAATCAGGAGAGCACTGCAGCATTTAAAAAAGAAATAAGCAATGACATCGATCAATTATACATCAAGATAAGATTATAAGTTACTAGTGTGTTAGCTAGCCACACCTTCAATTACAGAATCAAAAATGAAGAAACTAGAAATAGATTATCTGATTGTATAACTGTTCAAGCGGAGATTAAAAATTTACGATAGTTTAGAAACAAGTCAAAGCTGCTAGTTTACCGTCATTGCCATTGCCAAAATGCTTAACTAAAAACAGACCTTTAACCAAGAAACTGAAAGCAAAACTCATATGGCTATTTTCAACTGGGTTGGTTTCTTTCTCTACTACGGTCAAAAGCATTATTACCAAAGCTATCATGAGAAATTGCATTCTTGGAAGCAATTGTAAGTCAACAGCCACAAATAGATATTGGCATGAGAAACACTAATAAGGAGGTTCAGATATTACTCGTAATCGAGCAACTTCTCCCACTTGCATTCCTAGCACCCCTTCATCCCATCCTGCAGAAAAATGGAGGCAATTCTAATAACGAAAGCACTTCATCTTGCAATCAATGTGACAACAAACTAACAATCACAATGACTCCCAACACAGATCACAAAAATTCAGAAAGCACAATGGGTTTAAGATTCCATGGAACCAACGACATGGATCTATAACAAGCAAATAAATTATGTAGCATAAACAAAGAAATTGATTCAATCATAGCACACTAACAAAGAAATATCAGGCAACAACCCATATACAGGAAATCTAGATGACTATCATCACTGTCTTATGCAGCACATTCAAAAGACCACTGTTTCTCAGTTCAAGAACCAGCCAAATCTCTTGCAGTTTAGTTATTATGTATTCGGGAACGACCCTTCAATTACTAATAGGTATGCAAAATTGCCTTTACTTTCTTCAGATCCATGTATCTGCTGTTAACAAATTACTCTTCAGGTATTTCATCCTATGTATTGGAAGTTTTCTGTCCAACACATATTGTAAGGCCAATAAATCATCTTTAACAAATATACAAACCTCCAAATGTTAATGGGGATATCATAAATCAACCCTATCACCCTATCCAGGCAAGCGCAAAGTGTACTGCACAGATTAATTTGCAGCAAATTGACCAATCAACCATTTTCTAAACAAAAAATCATGAGAAGAAGAAAACTAGACACAAATGAAATCCAGTTTCCGCGAAAATTACCTTTAATAACCTTGCCTTTGCCAATTTCGAATGTGAAAGGCTTCTGCCCGGGATCCTTAGTGCTAGTACCCAAATTCAAATCCAAACCTCCATTATTAACACCAACCACTACTCCAGGAAAAAGGGAAATCAGAAATCAACTTACCTCCAGAACTTTTGAGTTAGATCACCATTCTTGCCGAAGCCAGTACAGTGGACCGTGACCTTTTGCCCGGCAACAGGTTTCGGACCGGTGCCTGCTCTCAACTGTTCCTTCTCCACTCCCATCACTCCGATCAAGTTAAGCTTCGTCTCAGAATTAATTTGCCTTTTTCCCTTTGGTTCCAGTCCCCTATTTAGGGTTCTGCATCTAATATATAACAATAAGGTTTTTTTTTTTTTTTTTTTTTTTTTTTAAGTAATGTCCAAGTTAAAATTATTTTTATAAAAAAAAAATAGAACTCAAGTTTTGAAAATTACTTAATTTTGATAAATTAAAGAGTTCTAGCCATTTCTTAATCTTAAATTTAATGAGTTTTGAGAACTTTTTTTTTATTTTAATAAGAATTTAAATAGAGAAATCTAACCTAATTTAAAAGCAATATATTATATTTATATTAGTTATTTTATTTAAGAAATTTATAAAATATATACATATTCTTACGATTGAAATAGAGAATTTCAGTTTCATATTGTAACGGAGGCTTTGTAGACATCAAAGTCTTCTTCGAGTTGGACCTCAAGAGAAGTCTAGTAAGTTCATAAACTTCCTCATAAATTTGCTAATGAATTAGATGGTGAATTTCAAAGGTTTTTCGGCCTTTCATATTGTGTTCCCATTGAATCCCAAAAAAGGTCTCGTAGGATTCCCAAAAAGATTTCGAAAGATAGTTTGATTAGCATAGCCAATAATGGGAAAGACGGAAATGTAAAAGCCGGATCATATGGTGATGTCTTACACCACTCAGTGATTCCACATTTCTTGAAGTAGCGGGGGGAAATCACTTTATGCTGCTAAAAGATGATCCGATGAAAAAAAAAAAATTAAGCGAAATAAAAAAAAATATATTGAATGTTCTTAGAAGTCCAATCCATCCAAATATTTTTGGAGGATATGTTACCATTGGAATTAAGGCCGAAGCTAACCAAAGGCATCAAATCAATTTTGAAGAAATCGTAGAAAAAAAAAAATCAATTTGATAAAAGGCCGAATGCACAAAAGACTTAAGACACTTGAGGAATTTGGAGACATGAGCCATTATGCAAAACTTTGGAAGAAAAGGCTTAGGGTGTGTTTGTTTTGTAAAATATTTCGAAGGAATCTTTTTTTTAGTTGAGGTATAGAGAATTTGTATGATTAATATAAAAAAATAATAAGTACGTATGAAAAATTAATTACTTTGGAAAAATTTGCGAGAAAAAATATAAATATAACACATCCCTAATTAGGCGTGTGCATTGAAAACGAAATTGGTAATTCGGATATTTAAATTTGGTTTTTTCAGAAAAAAAATAATAATAATTTAAAAATCCGACCAAATTGAATTTCAAATTCATATTTTCCAATTTCAATTTCTCAATTCGAAATTAATTTGAATTCAGTATTTATGGAATTGATTGAATTCAATATAAACATAATAAGTTTGAATTATGATGATTTTAATTTATTAATTTATTTAAAATATTATACTAATATAATTAAATATATATATATAATAAAATAATATAATATAAAATATTTGATGATTTGGCGTTATATGAAGTAATTTTTTGAAAAAATAAGATATATGTATTTATAATATTAAATAAAATAATTATTTGAATTTGAAATCGGTATATCCGAATTAAAAAATGGTAAAACTAAATTTGAATTAATTTCAAAAATATTGAATTTGGCATATCAGAATATCGTCCGCATTACCAAATTACCGAATTCGAATTTTTGAATTTAATTCAAATTCCGTCGGGAAATCGGTAATTTTGCACACCCTTACCCTTAAAGTTGTACTTTTTATTATTTTTTCTCCAAAATATTAAATCAAATATTTTTTATATTCTATTAAAAATTTATCTGATATTCAAAAATTATATCAATAATATCTATTTCTAGTCTATCAAATAATTATTCAAATTCAAACTTTTATATTAAAAAATTCAAATCCACAAACCAACACTAAAATTTTGAAAGATAAAAACCCAAAAGGAGTATTTGGTGGGACTAAGGCCTTTTGAGGCCCAAGCCCAAGGATGCTAAAATATGACCCCATATATGATAAGAAATGTGTCATTAAGGGAAGTTTAAAAAGGTTTTATAGTATCCATGGTGGAGGAGACTTTATTGAATACTAATTAAGGAGACTTCATTGAATAGAGAAAAGTTACAAGGAGTTATTAGAATTAACAAAGACTTGAATATAATAGAATGGGAGTTGAAGGGAGAATTAGATACAACATTTATGAGAAATAATAAAGAGTTTAGGATGTTTTTTTAGATTTTTCGAATTTTGGAAAGTTGAAAATTAATATTTAATATGATATTTTGTTAAAGAAAATGTATATTTAATATGATATTTTTTTAAAAAAAATAAATAATATGAAATGAATGAAAGTGGATAAAATAAACGATGCCTATATCTTTTAATTATTAAAAGTTACAAGAATAAATTAAAGAAGCACTTAAAGAAGCTATGACATTTAAATTTAAAAAGAAAAATGAGATGAAAAGAAGAATGAAGGCGTCACCAAGTACTCCAAAAATTCCTGCATGATCAGTGTGAACTAGTATTGAATATTATTTCACATTGGATATGATGGGAAAATGCGAAAATTCCCTTAGCTTATAAGATGAATGATCGCTACACCTATCACCCCAATTGATTTTACGTTGAAAGTCCGAATCTTTTTACTTCCAATAAGATGCTATATGAACTTCTTGAAAGCATTCCAATAAGATATCACATTTACTTTGAACTCCACATTTCATAATTTTGAATAACTCTGTTCCACACTAGCCCTAAAATGATGGGCAAAGTAGCGAGCTGTATCTGGAATAACATGATGAGCGGTTAAGTAACTTTGCTAAAGTCTTTTGAGTAAAACTTCTCAATCTAGGCATTGTCATCTTTTCAATCAAAGCACATGTGATTAATTCCCTAACTAACAGGACGTGGCCACGAAACTTAGGATATGAAGATAGTAAATAAAATTACATTGGCGTATTTTGAAACAAAATTTCGTCACCCATAAAACAACAAATATAACCTGAACTCACTCAATGAATTGAATATTGAATCAAAATCAACTAAGGAATACATAGGAAATAATCCAATCTAATAAAAATGAATCAAGAATTTAATCATTAGATAGATATAAAGGGTAAATGAGCTTATGTTGATCACATTTGGTTATTCCGCGCAAACAAAAACCAACAGAGGTTATAGCATCATTCACCTCATCACACCGTCTGTCCCCAAAACGCAACACAAAGGGTTATGTTATATATATACATAACTCGACTGCACGCACGCCAATCAGTAATCACAAACATTCCGGAAAACCAAGGGAAGAGCACAATCTAAGTTTACCTGGCAAATGGGCCCTGTTTAGCCTATGTTATCAGCCCTCCGATCACCTATTATATCAGAATTAGCAATTAAAAGCATCAGCAAATGGGGGTCGGGTTATTGGATCAAAATGCTGTACAGAGGTTGCTCGTCTTTAAGTTGGAGGAGCATTCCTGTCTTGAGGGGCTGCAGATTCGGGTCCTCTTTGGCTCAGATATCTTGACACGTGAAATCGCCACAGCTAGCACATCGACCAGACCACTGTCTTCTTCTTCCTCAACTGCAAGTTGGGTTGAATGACGGGAGAGTATGGCTGGACTGGAGTCGTTGCTGAGACTACTGCTAGTGGAAGCTGTTGATGTCGACCTCTTTCTCTCTATGTCAGATCTGTGACTGTAAGTCCACCGCCCCGCCCTTGACTCAGGGGTTGGGGTCTTCAACGATGGTTCAGTATAGAATGAAATCCAGGGATGTTCTAGAAGAAAATAACACAAATTGAAATCAGCCGATAATAGTCTATTTTGTTGAGTATCAGAAGGTATCATTTATCTCAACAGCAAGAAAATTAAGGAGCCATTACTCAGTGACCGATAAACTAGGAAATGAAGAATATTTACCCAAATGCAATAGAAACATGTACTTATAATATGCAAGCGATTCTCCAGTAATCCTATATAGACATCTTGGGACTTAAGATACATGCAAGTTGCAAGTCGCAGCCATAACCCTATTCATAACCAAAAGTATTAAGTTTAAGGGAGCGAAAATGGAATCTGCATGCAATGCTTGACCAAACCAATCATTTTCTTCACTTATTTGAGTTATGGACTCATAATATCTAACATACATAAATCTACACAACAAACCCAATTAACACTAACTCTAAAAAGACCTACATTTCCATCGCCAGTAGATAGTCCATCACTAAATCAAGACATAATCGAAATGTGGTTTGGAACCGAGAACTTACTCAAAACCTCATTAGCGGTAAATCTTGTTGAGACATCCCTTGTTAGCATTTTAGAGAGAAGATCACAAGCTGGCCGAGATACCGATTCCCATATACCACTACTAAAATCTAATTTTTCTTCCTTTATTGCCTCAAACATGGTTTCCAATGAATTGCCTCTAAATGGAAGCACACCAACCAGAAGTGCATGGAGAAGGACACCAGCACTCCAGATATCCACTTTTTCAGAGTAATTGCCGACTAAAACCTCAGGAGCTACATAAGCAGGGCTTCCAACAACTCCACTCAAACTCTGGCCTGCATCAATTAAAAACTAATGTGTTAGTCCTTCATTTTGCACTCCTAGAGCATGTTTGGTTTATATTTGTGTTATGTATTTGCATAGTAGTTCGATATGATAATTTGTGAGAAGAAAAATAGTGTATTTTTTCTTAGAGAATGGGGATTGCATAGTAAATAAATAAATAAATAAAACAAATAAGTAAACAAAATTGCCAAAAAAAACAGAGCCTAGTTTTCTATACTAATATAAAGTCACTTTCTTCAAGACAAGTGGCATACTATTGAACATTGAACTTTTATCGTATTTTATAAACAGGTGGAGTTAGAAGGTTGCTAAAGCAAACAAACTCATGGTTACAAATGATGGCATTAAATAAAAAGGCATATCAAGTTCATTACTTGATAAGCAATTAGGTAACTTGAAAGCAAATATTAGCCTTTAATATTTTCTCTGAGATCGCATATAAAATAAGATTATCCTTTTTAACTGTTCTAGGCAAGGCAAGTCAGGGTGGAGGAGAAGGTAGCTGGCATAAACAACACACAAACATTATGAAAACAAAGTGACTGTCAACAAATCATACGAAGCAAAAGAGTATTGAACAAAAGATGTATCATTGTAAATATGCGGCATTACCATCCAAAATCCTGACAGCTAATCCAAAGTCTGCAAGCTTCATCTGTCCAGAGGCAGTGAGTAGGATATTCTCGGGCTTTATGTCACGATGAACAACTCCCATCTCATGGCAATATCTAACCGCCAGCATCAATTCTTTAATTATGTTAGCAGCCCTTTGCTCCAAGTATGGCCCTTCTCTCGCCATCTGATCAAGCAAGCGTCCCCCAGAGCAAAGCTCCATCACTAGATGGAAAGACTCGGCATCTTCATATACTGCCTTCAGTGTCACAACACCCGGATGCCCTGACAAGTGCTGCATTATCTCGACTTCCCGGTGCACAATCTCCTCCCCTTTACGTAGAGTTTTGCAAGCAAACTCCTCCCCAGTAGCCTTACTCCGAGATAACACCACTGAACCAAACTTCCCTTCTCCTATAGTTCTATCCAACTCATAATCATGATCAATCCTCTTCTTCCTACCCAATCTTGTAGCAGCTTCAATGCAACCAATTTTCCTCTTCAGACCCCTGCTGGGACATTCCAACTGGGCTGTGCCACATGCCGGAGCAGTCGCAACTCCATTGACAATGCTTCTACCCGAATCAATAATCTTTGAGACTGCGATCCCTCCTTTGCACTTCTTTGTCCTCCTTGAATAATCTTCCAAAGAAAAATGAGACCAAAAAATTTCCAATCGACTACGTTCGTCGACATCCGTTTCGACGCCCTTTCTCTTCTTACCCAAACACTCCATCGAACAATACTTCGACTATAAAGAAGCCATGGGAAGCTAATGAAACCAAAAACTCCTTAGTCCGAAAACACCTTAAACTCTTCTTTTCCAAGAACTACAGATCACCAATTTATTGCCCACAACCTGTAATCAGTGAATACAATTATAGAGCACAGCGTTAAACTCCAAACAGTTGTAGATTGGTAAAATTTATGTAATTCTTTTGTTCTTTTTTTACAATTAGGGTTCAATTTAATCCTACCGTAACTACTAGACCTAAACCCACCGCCTCGTAAAATCAAAAGCAATACAGCCGGGATTTACCCAGCGCACTCGTCGACGAGACTTCGTACCTTGAGTTGCGCGAGATATCTCGTACCTTTTTCCGGCGACCCATTCACCACACCCTCTGAATCGATCCGAAAAGAACAAACCCTAAAAAAATCTGAATCAAATCCTCACTCGATCAAACCCTCGAAATTATGCAATCGGAATATGCACAAGAATACTGGAATCAAAAACCCCAAAATTTAGGCGAAAATTAGTTTGGACAGTGAGAGGAGAGAGAGCGAGAAGGAAGGAATGGCAGGGCGAAATTTGAGTAAAACCCAAGTCCTCTGGCAAGAGCTATCGGTCCAATGAGGTTGCCTGATGTGCTGTACAGTAAGTCATGCGGCGCGCACGTGATCCTCAATAAATTGCCGCTACGCTTCCCATTTTTTCCTTCCCGGGAATCATATCAGATCCGACGGTTCATACACGGCGTCATCAACGGTGAGGATCTCTTCTACCTCTTAGTTAACTGACCGACCGTTTGATAGTCCAGATATATATATATATTGTTACGTATCGTCCTTTTCGGGTATGTTTATATGCAATCTTTACCATCGTACAAACACACCCTTATGTTATGCTTTTAGTAGATTCATTATTAATAATATTTTCATTTATTCACCCAAAATCATAGTAATAAATAATATCAAAGTCAAGCCCACAATCATTTGAACATATAATTCACCCAAACTATTGAAAATTAACCCATTGATAAAAGAATATTTTACCCTAAATTTTACTATTTATTAATTTTTTAAATATTAAATTAAATATTTATTTTTTTTATTTTTTATTATATTAAAAATTAATTTTATATTCAACCTATTGAATCAAACATTTATTTATATTATATTATATTATATAACTATTTAAATTTAAATTTTTTACTATTTAAAATCCAAATCCAAAATTCAAACTTCCAACCAAATACATTTGTGAGTCAAAGACATTATTACAAGAATGCGCGTGACGAACTTAAAAAAAAAAAAAGAAAAAAATCGTAAGTAAAACTTCCAAGATTAAGAAAATCTTTATACATTTAAAACTTTAACGGTTGTCACTATTATAAAAGATGAGGCGATAATGAGAAATACAGAATAAAGACAAGTTAAGGAAAATCTCGTTAAACACGGTTATCACTATTATACAAGATGAGGTAATAATGAGAAATATAAAATAAAAATGAGTCGAGGAAAACTTCTTTTACCTCTTTCCGCGGAAAGTGTTATGGTATATTTGTAACACTCCCAAAGACAAAACGGTTTATATCATATCAAAGCAGTACCAATAGCAAAAGACTTAACTAATAGAGAGAGAAGAGAGAATATAATAATCGACAGAGAAGAGAATATCTGGGATTACGTAATTAAGATTTTACAGTAAGATTTATATGTGATAGAATTTACTGTATTTAGGATTTAAAATCATATTCGGTATTTTGTTAATAAAACAATTGAGATTTATATTTTTCAAATTCACTTTGTTCTGCAGATGAATTGAAGAATTTGAATTTTTTATATTTTAAATGACATTATTATCTTTATACTATATTTGTGTAATTTATTTTCAAAAATATCACTGTATTTGTATTATAAAAGATTAATAAATATATTTTTGTCATTTTTTCTCTATTTTATATTATATTTTGATATAATAATTAATTTTTAAAGATCAACACAAAAAACCACTATCTACTTTGTGGTTGGAGCAAAATAATATCTTCTAACCACCAAACTACTTTTTTGCACCCCACATGTTTAATTACATTCATTTTACTGTTCATGCAATATTCACTTCACTAAATTTTACTTTTATTATTTTCTTTAATTTTTCACGAGTAGAGTATCAAATCATCTTTCTAGATGCAAATGTTGTGTTTTTAAGTAGTTTGATTTTCAATACAAATAACTTGAGTTCAATTTGGATATTTACCAATTAAAAATAATAGTAATGTATTATTTGAAGAGTTTAATTTGGATATTTACTAATTAAAAATAATAATGTATTATTTGAGGCATGCTTACAATATTACAACCAGGGGCGGAACATGGAGACTAGGGAGATCAATTGGCCCCCAATCCTCAAAATATATGTATTTTTTTATATAAAAAATAATAAAATTATATATTTTATAGTAATTTGTACATCATAATTTTTTTTAATGTAAAAAATCATAAAAATTTATTCGGTTGTTGATTTATACTTTTAGCCTTTAAATTTTATTTTTTATAGTAAAAAATGCATTAAATTTTATGTAATTTTGTTGAATTTTTTTTTCTAAAATATTTAAATTCTCTAATTTTTTTTTGCCAGAATGTACTATAAATAATAATAATAATAAAAAAAACAACATTAAATTGATAAAAAAAAATCGATTTTTTCCCCCGAACTTTTACTGTTGTTTCGTACAACAATGACTCATTAGTCAATACATGAGGCAATTAAGTTCATTTTCTAATATTTTAAATCTTTCATATTGTAGCCAAATACATCAATTTTTTTTGCGCCACTGAAAAGTTAAATTGAGACATTTATTTTTCTAAAAATAGTTTAAGCTCCATGAGCTTAATCTTATATTTTTTCATTTAATTTCTCCATATCTATATTAATTATTTACTCCGATAATTTAACTAAAAACTAATTACATTATAATATTAAAATGAATTAGGTAAAAAAAATAAAATGATAATATTATAGAAAATTTATTAAATAATTGATAAAAAATAATAGGATAAGTAAATAAAATAAAAATAAATTAATTATTATTTATTAAAGTAAAAATAATAAAATAATGATTGGATAAATTTTTTAATTATAATCGGTTGTGCATAACTTTAACTCGGATGACAAAAAAAATAATTACATTATTTTAACGGATTGAAAAATAAAAAAATTATTTATTTACCAAAAAAAAAATACAGTGCAATAAAGAAATGCAATTTTGTTATACACATCATACATACGTGTATAAGTTGTGGATGCAACTACTCTTGCAATGAAACATTGTATCATTTGTAGCCTATTATTGTGGACTCATATTTCCTATAAATATGATTTTACTGTAATGAAAAAATGACACTACACATCAATTCCAATGAATCCATTTACTCTCCCAGATTCTTATTAATATATATATATATATATAATATACACACTCACGCACACACATCTATATATATATATATATATTTACTTATCTATTATATATATATATATTATATACAAAATATAAAATAGTGGTTAGCGGTAGAAATAATTAATATTTCTATTGGCTAATCCTATAATAATATTACAACACGTTAACAGCACGATTATATATTTTATTTTCCGCAAGGTAATATTTTATATTTTATCTGTTTATTATGACTAACCTTGCCAAACAGTAATTTCTCCCTCTCCTCGTTTTTGGCCAAAATTATATGGCATGGACTCGCCATGTTAAAATGCATCTGGCATCAATGGGCTTGGAAAATACCATTGCCCGAGATAAAAACTCTCCGAGCCAAGATCGTGCAAAGGCCATGATCTTTTTGTGCCATCACATTGATGAGGCACTGAAAATGCAGTATGTCACGCTGGAGTCTCCACTCGAATTGTTGGAGAGATTAAAAGAAATATACGATCATTTGAGGCTGACATTGTTGCCAAGGGCACGAAGCGAATGGCAAAGCCTACGGCTTCAGGACTTTAAAACAGTCCAAGAATATAATTCTGCAATGTTTAAAATAACATCACAGCTGCGCTACTGTGGCGAAAATGTATTTTAATCTGATATGATGGAGAAAACTTTCTCCACTTTTCATGCCTCTAACATGGTTTTGCAGCAGCAGTATCGCGAAAGAGGCTTCCAGAAATATTCTGAGCTGATCACCTGTCTTTTGCTGGCCGAACAAAATAATGAATTGCTGTTGAAAAATCACGAATCTCGGCCGACAGGTGCAAATCCATTTCCAGAGGCAAATGCAATACAACCGGCAAATCCGGTGCGTGGTCGTGGGCAAGTCAGAAATCAGCGAATTGATCGCGATCGAAATCAAAATCGCGGACGGGGCCGGGCAAACGCATACAGTCACAATAATTATCAAAACAGGCCCCGATATATGCCAAATCGGCGATATAATGACAGAAGGCCGTACAGACCTCAACAGAGGTTCAACACCGGGAGAAACAGGAACAATGACGATGAGTGCACCCGGTGTGGAATCAAAAGCCATTGGGCCCATGTTTGTCGCATAGTCAGTCACTTGGCTGAACTGTATCGGGCCTCAAAAGAAAGATAGGGAAGAGTTGCCCCCGAAACAAATCACGCTGCCCACGATGACACATTTGACGATGTGATGAATGAAAATATCACGCACCTGGATGCCGATGATCTGCTTGATATAGCTGATGATGTTAAATGATAAAATGATGTTGTATCTCTTTTGTTATTTTGATGTTTTCTGTCCCCTTTTTGTATTACCCCCAATAATATAAGTCTATTTTGATTATGTTACTAATACATGTTTTTTATTATTTTTACTTCTTGCAAAGATATGAATGCCAAATATTTTGGAGCCGATGACAATATATGTCTTATCGACAGTGCTACGACTCACAACATTCTGAAAAACAAATGTTATTTCTCCCACCTGAATATGGGAAAGACCACAATTGTTACTATCAGTGGTGTATCGAAAATGATTGAAGGCTCAGGAAAAGCTACTGTATTTCTCCCAAAATGGACAAAAATGGCAATTGAAAATGCTTTGTTCTCGAGCAAAGCTCGAAGGAATTTACTGAGCTTCAGTGATATTCGAAAAAATGGGTATCACATTGAAACATTGAATGAAGGCAGAAAATGAATATCTTCTGATAACTCAGGTTGTGAATGGCAAAAGAATTGTGAAAGAAAAATTGTCATCATTTTCTTCCGGCTTATATTACTAAAAAATCAGTGCCATTGAAATATATCACCTAGTAGACCAAATGGCTACTAGCGAATTTAAAACTTGGCACGATCGACTTGGGCATCCTGGCAATGTAATGCTGAGGCGAATTGTTGAAAATTCAAATGGCCACTCATTGAAAAAGAAAAATATTTTGAGTCCGAATGAATTTGCTTGTGCTGCATGTTCCCAAGGGAAGTTAATAATCAGACCATCTCCAACAAAAGTTGGATTTGAATCCCCAGCTTTTCTGGAAAGAATTCTGGGTGATATTTATGGACCAATAGATCCACCATGTGGACCCTTCAAGTACTTTATGGTACTAATTGACGCGTCAACGCGATGGCCACACGTATGTCTGTTATCTACTCGCAATCTAGCTTTTGCTAGACTACTTGCACAAATAATTAAATTGCGAGCACAATTTTCAGATCACCCGATAAAGAAAATACGTCTAGATAATGCTGGAGAGTATTCATCACATACATTTTATGATTACTGCATGTCAATTGGGATTACTGTGGAACATCATGTTCCCCATGTACATACGCAAAATGGCCTGGCTGAATCCCTTATCAAAAGATTGCAATTAATTGCTAGACCATTATTGATGAGGTCTAAACTTCCTGTATCATGTTGGGGACATGCTATATTGCATGCAGCAGCCCTCGTGAAAATAAGGCCGACCAATTATCACTGTTATTCCCCCACTCAATTGGTTTCTGGAAAAATATCAAATATATCTCACCTGCGAATATTTGGGTGTGTTATTTATGTTCCAATTGCGCCACCTCAATGCACGAAAATGGGACCTCAAAAAAGGTTGGGTATATATGTCGGGTATGAATCACCCTCGATTGCGAAATATCTTGAACCAACAACGGGTGATTTATTTACTGTAAGGTTTGCAGACTGTCATTTTGATGAATCTCATTTCCCGACATTAGGGGGAGACAATAATCAACTGAAAAAAGAAATTTCGTGGAAAATACCACTTGAATTTGATCATCGTATGAAACATAGTGAACTTGAAGTTCAAAGAATTGTGCATTTGGAGAAAATTGCAAATCAATTGTCTGATGCTTTTAATGATGCTGCCACAGTTACGAAAATCATATATTGCAGCAACAAATGCACTAGCCAAAATAAATATCCCAGAAGGGAAAGTTCCGAGTGCTAATGAGCATACTGCCCGCGTAAAACGTGGCAGACCGTTGGGTTCCAAGGATAAGAATCCACGAAAGAAGAAAATTGTAAATACTGGTGAAGAGATCAACAATGATCAGATACCTGAAAAGGTCAGTACAACTCCTGAAAAAGTTGATACTAAAAATTCTGATGAATGTGATGACGAAGTTATTGAAACTTCTGTTAACTATACCACAATTGGAAAATATTGGAACAGAAAGAAAACAAATATTGATAATGCATTTGCATATTCTGTAGCACTCGATATAATGAAAGATGACGAGGATTATGAACCAAAATCAGTTGATGAATGTCGGCAAAGAGATGATTGAGCAAAATGGAAAGACGCAATTAAATCTGAATTGGACTCATTGAAAAAACGGCAAGTATTCGGCTCTATAGTCCAAACACCGGAAAATGTGAAACCTGTTGGTTACAGATAGGTGTTTGTGAGAAAAAGAAATGAAAATAATAATATCACAAGATATAAAGCAAGGCTTGTAGCCCAGAGTTTTTCCCAGAGACTGGGTATTGATTTTGAAGAAACATATTCGCCGGTCATGGATGGGATAACATTCAGGTATCTGGTGAGCCTAGCAGTACACAATAATCTTGATATGCGATTAATGGATGTGGTTACTGCCTATCTTTAGGGCTCTTTAGACAATGACGTCTATATGAAAATCCCATAAGGGATCAACATACCTGAATTATTTAACTCAAAGCCAAAAGAATCATATCCAATCAAATTGCAAAAATCTTTGTATGGGCTCAAGCAATCAGGCCGAATGTGGTACAATCGTCTCAGTGAAAGCTTAACCAAAGAAGGTTACATAAATGACCCTATCTGTCCATGTGTTTTTATAAAGAAAAATGGGTCTGAATTTGTAATCATCGCTGTATATGTCGATGATCTCAATTTAATTGGAACTCCTAATGAAATCCAGAAAGCCGTTGAATATCTGAAAAAGAAGTTTGAGATCAAAAATTTTGGAAAAACTAAGTTTTGCCTTGGTCTGCAAATTGAGCATTTGGAAAGTGGAATCTTTATCCACCAATCAAATTATACTAAAAGGGTACTAAAACAGTTCCTGATGGATAAATCACATCCGCTAAGTACCCCAATGATCGTCAGAACACTCTATCCAGCAAAGGATCCATTTAGACCAAAAGAGGAAAATGAAGAAACACTTGGCCCAGAAGTGCCATATATGAGTGCTATAGGCGTATTGATGTATCTTGCTAACAGCACCCGACCTGACATATCATTTGCTGTAAATTTATTGGCAAGATTCAGTTCATCGCCTACTCGACGACATTGGAATGGGATTAAACACATTTTTCGCTATCTCCAAAGAACAATTGATCTCGGGTTATTTTACTCAAAAGATTCTCGACATGAATTAATTGGATTTGCCGATGCAGGATATTCATCGGATCCTCATAAAGCCAAGTCACAAACTGACTATATATTTACTTGTGGCGAAACAGTGATCTCTTGGAGATCAATGAAACAAACTTTAACTGCCACTTCTTCAAATCATGCTGAAATATTGGCAATACATGAAGCTAGTCGAGAATGTGTTTGGTTGAGGTCAATGACTCAACATATTCTGAAAAATTACGGGTTAACACCTAACGATAAAATTTTCCCAACTACATTTTATGAAGATAATACGGCTTGTATAGCCCAATTGAAAGGGGGTTACATTAAAGGAGATAGAACAAAACATATTTCACCAAAATTCCCTTTTACTCATGATCTGCAACAAAATGGTGAAATTAATGTGCAAAAAATTCGATCAAATAATAATTTGGCGGATATATTAACCAAGGCATTGCCGACGGCAACATTTGAAAAACTGGTGAAGAAAATTGGGATGCGTCGGTTTAGGTATCTCAAATAATGCTCAGATCAGGGGGAGCGAATCGATACAAGAATGTTGTACTCTTTTTCCTTCACTAGGATTTTTTTGTCCTACAGGGTTTTTTCCTAATAAGGTTTTAACGAGGCACATTCTTTGTATAAAAGCATCCGAAGGGGAGTGTTATACACATCATACATACGTGTATAAGTTGTGGATGCAACTACTCTTGCGATGAAACTTTGTATCATTTGTAGCCTATTATTGTGGACTCATATTTCCTATAAATAGGACTTTACTGTAATGAAAAAAATGACACTACACATCAATTCCAATCAATCCATTTACTATCCCAGATTCTTATTAATATATATATATATATATATAATATACACACTCACGCACACACATCTACATATATATATATATATTTACTTATCTATAATATATATATTATATACAAAATATAAAATAGTGATTAGTGGTAGAAATAATTAATATTTTTATTGGCTAATCCTATAATAATATTACAACAAATTTTATTTAATCGTATTTGTATTTTTTTTTTATTTTTACTATTTATTTATAATAATTTATTTTATTTTCTTCTAAATATATGACATCATAATTTATTTATTTTATACCTGCCATGCACCACTTAACATGTGCAACTTATTATAGATATATAAGTTTACAATAAGTATAATTAGTAAATAATTAAATATGTATTAATAAAAATAATTATTTTATAATATAAATAATTATAAATTAAAATTAAGATAATTAATTAATTTAATTTAATTAAAAATAATATAAATTAGAAACTTTAAAATAAAATTAGGATGTGTAATTACTTTTGAAAAAAGAAATATGAAAAGATGTTGACCCCAAATTAAAAACAAAAATTGTCAGAAGTGGGATTTGAACCCACGCCCTCTTACGAAGACCAGAACTTGAGTCTGGCGCCTTAGACCACTCGGCCATCCTGACTTGTTTATTGAAAGATTCCAAACATATATATACATCTGTGTTTACTATTAGAAAAATTAAATTAATATTTTATATTTAATAAGTATATATATCTCTATAAATATTATATTGCATTCTATTTTTTATTTAAATTTATTAATAAAAATTATAATTATTATTAACTAAATTTAATTTATTTAAAAAAATAAAATAAAATTTCTATTAACGAGCCGAGCCTAGCCAAATACGAACAAAAAAATTGCTAAACGAGCCGAGGTCAAACATGACAAGCCCGGCTCTATTCCGCTCGTTTACAAGCTCTACTCTCGGTTGGAGTTCTTTAGATTTGGACAATTTACCGGAGAGCCAATGAAAAAAAATTTACAGTAACAGCTTGTCTGTCAAGATCAGCATTATTTTCTATTTCAAAATGAATTGAGCATATAATCAATCAATCAATCTGGAAGTACAAGAACACCAACAAACTTGTTCAACTCAACTCAATTCCGGCGTCTACCGTTAGTCTTTGGCCGTCGTTTGGGGTTGCCGGAAGGTGCCTGTGCCTGTGCCTGTGCCTGATTTGACTCCACTGCCAAAATGGTGCCACCTCTAATGCCATCGCCGTCTGCCATACTCACCATTCTTTGGGCTTCCACATACACTTTTAGGTCCCGAATCTATATTTCCAAGTGTAGTTATTTATACAACACAATACAGACAGACTAAATCTAGTTAAATGCACATAAATAAATAACTACCTGTTCTTGTAAATCTACCGTTAGTGCATCCTTTGCCTGGAGTAGCGATCTTTCCCTGTCATTGCACATAACTGGATCGTTAAACAAACTTCACAAGCACTTTTTCCCACAATGGCATGACAAAAGTCTACCTTTCTTCGATTTCCTTGTACTTCTTCTGCAGGAATTCCTGTCTCTTCGTAAGCTCTTGATTTTTCTATAACAAAATTTGAGTGTCTATTAATTAGGGATGTTGAATCAAACAGTTGAAACAACTCTAATCTAATTGCTTTGGGTTAGAGAGTTTTACATCTGCAGCAGCCTTCTTTAGTTCTGCATATTTTTCCAATTTATCTTCTAGCTCGTGGGTCTTTGAAAATATAGCTTTCTCAACTGCCTTTGTTATAGAGCTCTCTCTTCTACTTTTCGCCTCAGCAAGCAGCTCTTCATAATGCTAATAGCAAACATACAGCAAGGAATATTCAGTAAAGGGAAGGAAATTATACGATAAGGTTTGATCTCTACTCTAAACATTAGGTAAAATTTAAATTCTAAAGTGAAAGGCTAGATCTCAACAATTCCAATCTATCAAATATGGCTTATATTTGACTACATGGCCGTCAATATACATATACGTTCAAGTGATCAACAACCTACTGATGCAAACTCAAAACGAAGAATTCTGTTACCTGTCTCTGAGCATCCAGCTGATTTGCAAGAAGCCGATTATACTCATCCAAAACCTATTAAAAAAATAAATAAATAAACAATATTATAAGTGAGACGTTAAGATGTATTAGGAAAAGCCATGGCAGCATTCACTACTTTCAACATTTCATGCCATATTAAATAACTGAGAGAACATTCAAATGAAGAAAATTCAGTTTGTATATTAAACGATATCCAAAACACAAAGATAATCATTGGCTTGAAGAATGAAGACACATTAAACAATATCCAAAAACACAATGATAATCATTGGCTTGAAGAATGAAGACACATTAAATGATATCCCAAAACACAAAGATAATCATTGGCTTGAAGAATGAAGACACGTACCCCTTCAATCTTGCTGTTTAAAAGGGCATTGTCCAATCCTTCCTCTTCCACATATCCACATTCCTCATTTGAATTGCACTGTGAATCCATGTTGATAGATTTCCGACCAACTTTGGAATGATTCAAACGATGGACGTATCTATCTCCAACATAATCCCATATTTGTTGCTTTTCCAGTTCCAGTGAAAAACGATGCTTCTTGTCACTCCAATGTCCACTGGCATGACCTTTTTCATATCTATAATGAAAGAACAAATTTTTAGTTGATTCATTTGAACATTTCCAAAACAAGGGTATGGAAAATGAAAATTAGTGATGGGAATGAGCACACTACTATCCCAACTCCCATGATCTATTAAATGTTTATACCTTCCGCAGCCAAGGAAGCCGCAGATCAAGCAGATCCAAAGGTTCTTGAAAGATCCACAAACAGAACAGGATGGCTTTTCATCTTGCCCCTGAGAAAGCCGACAAACCTGCAAAGTGCATTGAAAAAACTCGTCAAAAGTCACAAGCTACCTACACTTACTCTCATTGTTTGAAAGTAAATGACTTGGGAGCTAAGCATGTGAGATTTCGCAACATTCCCAAAGGAAAAACAAAAAATGAAAGAGAGAGAGAGAGAGAGTAATTTAGATTAAACTAATGATATAGGGGAATGCTAACCAGGCAAGACAAGTAGGTCCATTTGGAAACACAAGAACAAAGAAACGAGTGATCACATAATGTGCTCTGTATTCCGCTTGTGTCTGGATCCAATCTCTCTATTATAATGAAAGAACACAAAATAAGATAAACAAATATATAGAGAGTATCTCAAACCATAACATGTGAACGATCATTGAGGTAAAATCATATATTGATAGACAAACCAATAATACAAATAGTCATTCTAGCAAAGTGACTGACCAAGACAAACAGGGCATGATGGTAATTCCGTATATTCTGCTGGAGGTGCAGAAGCAAGTTCTATACATTCGGTCTGCAAAACTGATTGAGTAAAATATATGTGGCATACCTCAACCTGAAAATAAGATGATTGTACAACATAATTAAGAAAAGAACATCACTACATACAGAAAATCGTTTATATAAATACTTCTATAATTCAAATCTTTTGATACCTCAGAAGGCTTAAATCTTTTACCATTGTAACTACAATAGAATCCATCAGCTGCCAGTTGACTTTCTAGTTTAATCAAAACACTATACCTATCCTCCATTCCATCATTCCTGAAGATACAGAAATAGAAAACCACTCAGCCAAACAACTTAAAATATGATCTAAGCTATGCCAATCAAATATGACAAACAGAAGAAAGTATTAAAAGTGCACATGAAACTATGATCGAATAGAAAATGAAGCAGAGCTACAATCAGATGACAAACTGATTCTTACTTTACAATATACTAGGGGTGTGTTCGTTTGATGGATTTTGACAAAATCCCACTATTCATCCAAAATTTTCCACCCAAAAACATCAAATCAAACACCTATTTTTCATTTTTTATATTATACTAAAAATCAATTTTACATTCAAAACATCACATCATCACCTATTTATATCACATCATACAACTATTCAAATTCAAAATTTTTACTATTCAAATCCCAACTCAAAATCCAAACCCTAAACAAACACACCCAATATAACCTAAATATAACCTTCCCAACAAACATACAAACATACATATGTTCGAATATAATCACTAGGTTTAAATTTCATTCCAAATCAGTCTACAACCTAAATATAACCTTCCCAACAAACATACAAATTTTCCAAAAGAACGTATCTCACTTTTAAGTTCACATATGTTCGAATTTAACATTTACAGTGCCGTTGCTCCAATATAAACATTAATCAAAGGCATTAGTATACAAATACCCAATAAATTAATCATTACTGCTTTATTATATGTAATTCAAGTATGAATGAAAGAACACTCAAATGAAATCCATCCCACAACCAAACTAGTTTCCGGAAAATTTGAAAACTACCGGAGGAATAGAACATCTACGAAGTGAAGGACGTGGCTCCCACAGAAGCTAAGGAAATCATCAGACGACACATAATTGGGGACGGCGACGACGAATAGGAGCGTAGTGCGAGCGCTGATATTGGCGATGGTGATCGGTGGCCCTGCGGCCGACGGAAGCTGGCGGAAGAGGTGCGCAACACCCATCAGCTGGGAGAGCTTCAAATTACCGCTCGCCTTAACATCAGCTGCGGCGATGTGAACCGGTTGCGGAGAGTCGACAGTGTGGATTTTGAGGGTAAACATGTAATCCCTTGATCTATCTGCGTCGAATTTTCTTGAAGAAATTTGCGATCAAAATTAGGGTTTATGGAGATGAATTTGGGGATTCTGTGGAACGGTTTGAATTCTGGACGGTTGAAATGTGGTTTGTATCGTAGCAGTTATAATAATAATAAATAAATAAAAATAAAAAATAAAAACAAACTGTTCAACTGTATTAATAATCACGTGGTATAAATGCTGGCGGTTAAGGCTAAGAGCACAATGGCAAAATTAGGAAAAGCCTTTATTGCCAACTTGTAATCATGCTGTTCAATCAATTTTATTTTTATTTTTAATAATATTGATTTTAATTTGAAATTCGCATTGTAATTTTTTATTGTTTTACTTTAAAATTTTTTCAATGAATTATTGCAGGCATAGTTTTTTCGCAATTGCTAAAAAATGGGCTATAGATAAACTTTCTCAAATCAATTTAAGGTAAGTATTTGTCTATTTTTTTTTCCTCATTTTCTTCTTTTCTTCTACTTTTCTTCCCAAATCAAATTGTGATTGTCGGGTCTCCAGAAAGTGCAAGAGCAACGGCCGGGCGTTTAGAATGTAAGGGGTGTCACAGTAAAAAGAGAAGAAGATGGAAAAAATGAGTCAGCTACGACGGAAATAGATTCGGAAGCAAGAGAAGAAGATGGGAAAAATGAATCAGCTACGACGGAAATAGGTTCGGAAGCAGAGAAATAGAGAGCCCAAGCAGAGAGAAAAGAAGAGAGAGAGGCCCGTCGATTGTGTCTCAACTGCACAAAGCACATCAATTTCCAATCGAAAATTTACAATCAAATTTACACAAGTGCGGATAAATATTTTCAATTGGTGAAAGAGAAATCTTTCAAAATTGAAAGGACGACTTCTATAACTAAGCCACGTTATTTGCTCTAATCAGGCCAAATCAATATATATAGCAACAAGACAACTATTACTTGCATCGTACTTTTGTTTTATCGTATAATTATTATTAGAGAAGGTTAATCTGGTAGCGCTTATGAGCATATTTTACCACACAATAAACACATGGTAAAACTAACGTAATATTATATTTAAAATAGTATATTTGTAGTTTAACACATATTTATATTTAAATAGCAAACACTTATACTATAATTAGCATGTTTTAGCAAACAACAAACACACTGCAAAATTAGAATAGTATTACATTTAAAATAACACATTTATGTTCAACACAGATTTATATCTGTGAACAAAAAAATTGTGTTATTTTTAATAAATACAAAATTTGTACAAATTATATTTGATTTGAATTTAAAGTGGGTCATATTCTCTAAATGGATACTTTGATTCTCCTTCCGAGTAGATTTATTTTCCAACTTGGTTTTCTATGGCTTCTTTGATCCGAAGAGATTTGGTCTTCGGTTTGATTCTACCGGACTTTGGAGGGCTTTGGTCTCCGTGTGGGCAATTTGATCGTCAGCTTCTGATTTGGTGTCTTCTTCGGACGATCCGAGGCTTTGATCTTTGATTTGGTTTTGCCGCCTTTTAGAGAGCTTTGGTCTTCATGTGGGCGATTCGATCGTCGGCTTCGGACTTAATGTCTTATTTGGACGGTCCGAGGTTTTGATCTTTGATTTGACTTTGTCGTCTTTTGGAGAGTTTTGGTCTCTGTGTGGGCGATTTGACCATCAGCTTTGGATTTGATGTCTTCTTTGGACGATCCGCAGCTTTGATTTTGGTTTGCCTTTGGCGTTTTTTGGAGAGCTTCGGTCTCCATGTGAACGATTTGATCATCGGCTTTGGATTTGATATCTTCTTTGGACAATCCGCGGCTTTGATCTTTGAGGAGTTAGATTTGGTGCTCCATAACGCTTTTGGTGGCATGTCCCTTTGACTTTTGGATCGAAGAGGACAGAGTTATGTTTTGGTGAAAAACGCGATGAACACCTCGAAGCTTTGGGATGAACTTTGGATGCTCTTCCTTGGCTTTGATGGACTCTTCAATGGCTTTTGGAGGTTTGATCATTGAAGAGGTAGATTTGGTGCTTCATAACACTTTTGGCGGCGTATCCCTTTGACTGTTGGATCGAAGAGGGCCTAGTTGATGCTTCGTTGAAGAACACGATGAACATCTTAAAGCTTTGAGAGAAACTTTGGAGACCTTCCCTTGGCTTTGACGAATCCTCAACGGCTTTAAGAGCTTTGATCTTTCCTCCGGCTTAGACATACGACGAAGAACATTAATTTTATCGATTCGTCAACCAATATTGGATCATTTGTCCAAATCAGTGACTTTTGACGAAGAACGCTTCGAATGATACGAAGAACATGAAGAACAATACAGAGAGAGTCTAGAGATTTACCCATTTGCTTGAATCCTCGATATAACTTCAGTGTGTCAAATGATTTGACCATGACTCCTATTTATAGGGGAAGGGTGACATTGACTTCCTTTTTTAATGGTACCACGTGGCGCGTCCTCATTGGCGAACATGATGATTTTATAATCCTTCATTTTCCATAAGATGTTTTCCATTTATGAAGGATTTGATTACACGTCTTGTTTTTTTGCCAAGATCTTTATATCATTATCATTTTCGGAAGATATTAATTTATATACTTCCTTTATTGACAAAATTAATTTATTTTACTGCCAAATTTATTATGGTTCTATTTATGCACGTAATATTTGTACGATATCTTCCATTTTAAACAGATTTTTGCATTAATGGTTGATATCTATTGTACAAAAATTAACTGTGCATAATTAAATACAATATATTTATTTTATTGAAATTTTATTTTCTTAAAAAATACATGATAATTAATTGATTTTAGATATATATTTTTAGTGTCTACAATATGCAAACTTTTATACTATAATGAATATATTTCAGCACATAATAAACACATTGCAAAAGGGTAAACTGTTTTTTAGTCCCGTAACTGGACCCCCTTATCATTTTAGTCCCGTAAGTGGAGCTTGTCGCAAACTAGTCCCATAAGTGAAAAATTTTCGCTGTTTTAGTCCTTCGGCGCGGGAGACGTCCGCGTGGCTCGCTGGAGGTGACGGCCAGGTGTCCCGCCAGGTCAGCGACACCTGGCGGACACGTGGATTTATTTATTTTTTTAAATTTTTTTAATTAAATCAAATAAAAAATTAAAAATATATAAATAAAATTAAAAAAAATTAAAAATAAGTTTTAAAAAAAATTAAAAAATAAATAAAAAATAAAAAAAAATCCACGTGTCCGCCAGGTCAGCGACACCTAGCGCTGACCTGGCGGACACGTCATCTCCGGCGAGCCACGCGTCTCCGGCGCCGGAGGACTAAAACAACGAAATTTTTTCACTTATGGGACTAGTTTGCGACATGCTCCACTTACGGGACTAAAATGATAAGGGGGTCCAGTTACGGGACTAAAAAAACAGTTTACCCCATTGCAAAATTTTCATATTATTACATTTAAAATAATATATTTGTGTTGAACATATATTTATATTTAAATAGCAAACACTTGCCCTAGAATAAGCATATTTTAGCACACAACAAACATATTGTAAATTAATATATTATTACATTTACAATAGCATATTTGTATTTAGCACATATTTATATTTAAATAGCAAAGCTTACACTATAAAATTAATATATTATTACATTTAAAATTACACATTAGCATCTTATCACATATTTACATAATCTTATCACATATTTACATAATAAAAAACCAATACTTACATTATGAAAATCACATTTTTATTTATTCATTTGTTTAATTTTACTAATTTAAATATTTACATATTTAATTAAAATATATATATAAGTTGAATCTGAGAATAAAACCAACATAAATTACAACGCACATTTATATTTCTTACTCCCTCCGTCCATGTAATATGGGTGTATTACTGTAGACACAAGAATTTAGGTAAAGTATAATTAGTAAATAATTAAGAAGTGTATTAGTAAAAATAATTATTATTTAGTAAAAATAATTATAGATTAAGATTAAGATAATTAAATAGTTTAATTAAAATTAAGAAAATTATAAAATTTAAAATTTAAAATGCGATTAAAGTGCATAATTATATTTCCAAAAATAGAAAGGACAAGTTATCTGGGACGGACGAAAATAGAAAATAGAAACAAATTATGTGGGACGGAGGGACTATTACGAAAGAAACTGTAAACTTACAATTATATCATTTCTCTTAATTCCAGCCGTTAGATCAATTGTTAATCCAATGGATTAGAGCTAATCACCGTGGCAACATAAGCGATACCAATAAATATGTCACAACATTATGTTCTGTACAGAAGTGTGTAGATATAATACTATTCTATATGAATATATTTATTTTGTTGAAATTAATAATATTATACTATATATTATATTATGTGTATGCTCTCAGAATATATGTATACTAGCGTGTAAACCCGTGCGATATACGATTTTTGTATAAATTGTTGAAATAATTTTATATAAATAATTAATTATATTGACAAATATTTTATAAAATAAACAAATATTCTTAAGACTAATTAACAATTAATACTGAATTTACCCTGTGAGAATTCTTTTTATTGTGTCCATGAAGATATAATTACTATTATACATGTATAAACACAATCTATAAAAATATTAATCAATTCTAGTACTAATTATATATAAATTCCTATTATATATTTAGAAAAATAATAGTATGCTAAAATAATTAACAATGAAATAATATATATGTATATTTATACGTGTAAAATATGTCCGATTTTATAAATTTTTGAAATAGAATAGTTGATATCAAAAAATAAAAAATTGGTTGTGTGACAATTTTAAATTCATACTTACAGTATAGTCTTTTATTGTCTAATTAGCATTATATCTACACTAAATATTATATATAAAATATAAATAAAAAATTACGATGTATTTATAATTATATAAACATATAATCTTTGTAAAATTAGTTTCACTTCAGATATTTTAAACATTAATATAGTCAATTCGTCAAATAATACGGAAAAACTTAACATTCATATAAAAAATAAAAAAAATTTAAATTATAAATTAAAAAAAGTAATTATAAAGTTAGCATATATTGTACAATAATTATGTAACAATTTTTAATATAATT